GGGTTCAACTCACTGCTTCATGTCCTGCATTTGGCACTCCATGTTCTCCTGCTGACTTCTCAGGATCTGTACCTCGTACAGCAACCTGCTGAGGTCCTCCTGGCGCATCTTGGTCTCCTCGCTTTTTACTACTGACACCTAAGGAAGAAAAAGGCAGAAGTGGACTTCACCAGCACTAGAAGGACAGATAGAGCAATGGCTGTGGCTCAGGGGCAGGACTCCCAAAGCCAGACTGGTATGCTGGCATACATGGGGAGGCAACGTGCTCACAGAAGTCTGGGTATTACTGCAAGGGCCAATGAAATAAAATGCAGCAAAGAGCAGGAAAAGTGCTTCCATACAGAGGGCTGTTGGCAGTAGGATATTGTCCACTAGGGATGTACTTCAAATCAACTCGGAAAAAAAGGTACTTTGAGGAACAGGAACGCGCGGAACTAGGTCATTTGATTAATTGTTACAATTTTATGTAACTATAACTGTTTTGAACTGATATATTACACTTGGATTTCCAGGATGTTTTTGTTGTAGTTGCTTTCTGAAGTCAATAGGTAACTTTCTTGAAGTCAATTAGCCCTTCTTGGAGGCTAAGAGCAAGTTAGAAGACAGTAAACAGGTGGCAGGAGTAGGTTATTGCTTCTAAAGCAACAGGAGGGGAGTGCTGGGGGATCCAGGAAGAGATGTGTCATACTGATCTAGAAAAAGAGACGCTGATTCAAAATGACAGAACGGTCAGAAGCAAGCCTGGCTGCACAGCACAAAGATCTGTGGCACTGGGCAGTGGAGCAAAACAAGCCAACAGCTGGTGACAGCCAAGCCCTGCGCTCACAGGACCCTTGTCAACAGCTGAATGTACAACCCAGGCTAGAAACCACATTGCAAGGTGATGTTTGAATTACGCCAAGCAGTCCACAGCATGCCAGTCTGTGTTCCAAAAAAACCAAATCTGCCTTTGGAGAATTGTCAAGAGAGGAAAGCAGCTGTGGCAGAATCCACGCAATGAACACGTCTCAATCACAGAGCCTCCAGCCCAGTGCCCCTCACCTTCCTCTTGATGTGCTCCAGGAGGTGCTCATGGCCCTGCAGGAAGCAGAGGTGCTGGAACTCAGTGTCGTCCCGCTCGGGCTTGACCAGCCCCCCCTGCTCAATGTTCACCACCTTTCTGAAGCCATCTGCGTGGAAAGGGTGTGGGTGGAGAGTCAGTGGGCCCATGCTCTCCTCCTGGCCTCCACCAGAAGTGAGGAAAATCTATGTTGGATACCTCTTTGAAGTTCTACAAGGGTTTCTACATCACATCTACACCTGCTCAAGACTGGCCTCGTATTAACAACAGTGCTACTGCATGCTTAAATTGCAAAGAGTAAACTTTATTGAGGAACTTACGGAGTAGTGACTGAAAGAAAGTAACACTTCAGAAAACTATCACAGAAGATGCATATTTCATACAAACATGGTCTAGGTGTTGCTAACAGCCACGTGCAAACCTCTGCTGAGCGGTGATTGTGTGCAATTAGCATGGTTTGCTGGGTGAAATGCTGTCCGACCTTAGCTGAGCAATATGGCTGTGAAAACAGACAAGCTGTGGGCACACTACACTCAAAGGAAGCTGTTTCTGAGGGAGCTTTCACGGTACTGAGCTGCCAGAAAAAGCCCCATATGGCAATTAAACTGATCAAGGAAAGCAGAGAACCTGGTAGCTGAAATTTCTTAGCCACAGCTTATCTAACAGAAATGTCATGCTAGAATCTATGGAAGAATCTACAGATCTTCTGTAGAAGACTTTCACTTCCCAGGGGTCTAAGAGGAATGTTCTCGTTGGCAAAATCAATAATGTCACAGTAATGTGTATACATGGGCTCCCAATGTTTCTATCTACAATTCCTTTCCATGCTTCCCATCCCAGCCTTGCTTTCTCTCACTCTCCCTGTATCCCATGAGACCCATGCTGGTTGAACTTACACATGTTCAGCTGCCGGACGAAACTGGCCATGTTGTTGTGTTTGAAATACTTGGGCAGCACCTCTTTGGCAAAACGTCCTTGGTCAAACACATGGAAGCTGGTGCCATTCTGCAAAGGCAATAAGGACAGAGGCAGTCAGAAGACTGCAGGAGGAGGCCAGGAGGAGGTGGTTCCCTCAGGTCCTACAACAGGCAAAGAGTGACAACTTTCAGTGAATGATGTTCCTCTTTCAGTTCTGGCACAGACACATTTTTGATCCTTTTTGACTGCTTTTTCAGAGCCTCAGGTGTGAGAAAAAATCTACAGGCTTTTACATCCCAAGTGCTCACAGCTCAGGATTGTTGCTTCTTTTTTTTTTTTGTGTAGACCTCACAGAAAGACACTGGTGTCTGGAGAAGGTCTTGGAAATTACCATTACAGTCGATGAAGGTGCTGACACAGGTCTGTCTGTGAACTATCTGCTCCAGAGCACAGCGGCCCTGGAGGGAGCACTGCCTGGAGACATGGCACAAGAACACAGCAAAACGTGAAATCCTTGTTGTTACCAAGAATGCAGAAGCTCTTCACGCCTTCTCTGAGTTATTTTTGAAAGCACACAGTCACAAGGGCAGCCACAAATGTGGCTGAATGTGGCATAAGGTTTTAGCAGTTATGCTTTAACAGTTCAGGCTAGCAACATGCATTTTAACTTGCTAAAAGCGCTGTTTCTGAGGATGCATCACCAGGATTTGTGACTGCAAAACAAAGCAAACCAGGCTGGGATCAATGACAGACAGGCACACTGCAGCCCACGTGCCTTCCCTGCTGGCCTCCTGCCTGGTGGACACACCGTGCTGCAGCTGCCCTGAAGTGTTCTGCAAACACAAATCCACATCACCTTCTTAGGGGACAGAAGAACTGGCAATGCGTTTTCACCTGGGTCCCGCTGTGCACCCACCACCCACTACACACCCCCACTGGCATATAGCGCCAACTCCCGCTGTGCTCAGGCTCTTCTGCCTGCTCTAGCAATTAACCCTGCATGCTCACAACACACAACCTTGCTTCTTGCCTTAACAGTGCCCTCTGACCATCACCAGGGTCATTCCCACTGATCGTTGCCACACAGAGCAGAAGCAAAACTGGCCAAGTGCTTAGGAGATTCACTAACAATCTGCCCCTCTGTCTTGGCAGATGGTTGTCCCAGCCGGTTTTGACAGACCCAAGGGCAGAGACCCTCTGCTATGCGACAGTTTATTCCATCACTCCTTTGAGTCCTATTTATCAACAGCTCTGACTACGTCCAGAAATCTTAGCAAAGCCCTCAGCCCCTCAGCTCTAACAGCACTGACAGGGAAAAGGATGCAACATGGAATCTCAGATATCCGCAGATGATCTTAGAGATCTTTTGCAACCTTAAACTGCAGGAAAGCAGAGCGTGGTGATGGAAGGTCCAAAATAACAGCTGATCAGAAACCGACATCAGGAATACTGCACATGTAACACAGAGGGGACTGCTTATACATACTAATATTTAGTTAGAAAGTCCTTATTCAAAACACAGTGGTTCCAAGTGGTGTGGCCATGTACTGCCAACTTCGGAAAGCCCTGGATAACAACACAGCTTAAATTCCATCTCAGGTTTTGAATGAAAGCTGTACTGGACACGAGCACAGGGCAAAAATACTGCTTCAGGCTTTTCTCCCCCCTTTTAAATCTGCTTTTGTAATAGATGCCTTCTTTCAGAGGCCATGTTCATGCACACAACTGATCTGATAGCTGCCTGCTGGAGACAAATCACTGCATCATTTGCAGCAAGCCTTACTCAGGCCAAAAGCACAATGTGGTTTCAAAACACTTTATGAGAGGGACAGATTAATCATTTTTATCCACTGATTGCACTTAAGTAAATTAAAGCCCCTGAGATAAATAAGAAGCCAAACCAAAGCAATCTATCACTAGAGGAGTGGTACAGACAAATATACACACATCACTACCCATCACATGAACTGAAAAGGTGAGCGAAGTTCTTCCAAAATGCTGGGCAATTTAAAGTGCCAATCTGAGATCCATTTATGTTTCAGCTTGTGGTCCAAGGGCTCCTTATGGCAGCCTACTGCCTGCTAGCACAGCACTGGGGAAAGGCTTCTAAGAGATGCTTGTAAAATCAGCCAGCCATCACTGAAATCCTGTGATAGCTTTGCACATTTTCCAGAAAACTTTGGGGAACTGAAGCAAGGTGAAAAACTTTTCTCTCCTAAAGAGTCTGGATTTTTTAGAGGATTCGGTTTTAAGACACCCCTTAAAGCACTCAAAGTGAAACCCAGCATTGGCTGCACATACCGTACTCCAGCAGATGAGGTGGTTTGTTTCGGGATCTTCCACCAGCGTCCAGAGCTTGGTTAGGAAGGCCGGCACATTGCTGGAGTAGCCATCCATCACCAGGGAGCCAGGAGAATCCTGCATAGCTTTCCAGTGTCCCAGCTACACCGACCCCATCGCTGTCAGCATGCCAGCCTCCCTGCACGCGTGTGTGTCCGACAGAGAATGAACCACTGAATTTTATCCCGGGCCAGTAGAAAGTAGGCTCCTGGGAGTCACATCAGCAGTGTTGCTTTCCCTCGTAAAAACTCAGCACAATGCAATGGCATCACCAGCCCCAGAGAACAATACACAGAATGAAAATGCACCGCAGCCGATCTCGCAGAGCTGTGAATAAATACGCAGCGTCATGCAGAGGGAACACGTGCTGTGCACCTTGCACTGGGAGGTCAGCAAGGCTGCGGGCTGAATCCACCCACTGGGAGCCTGCGGGACGCCTCAGTACTGCTGCATCGCCTTTGTCTGAACACTCACATAGTTGTTATTTTGGAATTCTCTTGCCCCAAAGGCTGGCCGGTGGAGGTGAGCACAGCCTGACCAAGAGCCCAGAGCTGCATGTCTTCAGCAAGGTTGTGAAAAGGCAGAACTGTACGTTGGCTTGGCTACAGGTCTCATCTGCTGGGAGAGCTGATCTAGCTCTTGGCTGACAAAGGTGGCTGATGAAAACAGCTACACGTGTAACTATGAGAAAATATGCCTTTATTGTTATCACTCAAAATCCTTTAGATTGCTCTAAATATTTGCTTGCAAAGGGAGCTGTATGCCAGGACCATTTAAAATCTGAAACTACTCCTCAAATCACAGTTCATCAAAATCCTTGGCACAACTAACCACCACGCTCATCCTAATTCAGACGCATGATATCTTTGCCATTTGCTGCTGACTGAGACAGGAAAAACTGTAAACACTGTTGATTCTCCTAAGAAACATTAACAATGCAGTGAAAGCATAGGTCATTGCCAAAGGCATTCAAATACCTGAAAATGTGCATTTCTGAGAAAGAAAGGACAGAGAAGGGTACTCGCAGGCTACGTGCCTTTTCTTATGAACTTATCACTGCTCCTTCTTAAGCGCTTTTTCTCCCACTTACATTTTCTAACATAACTCAGATCCTGTTCAGACCGTTACAAAGTGGAGGTTACCTGATACCTGGATACCAGGAGAGCTCATCATCACAGAAATGCCAAAAGAGAAATTACCAAGGTTGGAGGGCATTTTCCATCAGATGACCACTGCCTGTTGCTATAGGTGAACCCACGTGGCTAAGGACCCCGATGGACACAGAAACCTGCACTGAAGCTGTCACTTCCTTAACTGTCAGCCTAAATAGTTGCTGGGAGCCTGACGCGATGTGCTTGACTTTGAGATTTGCCTAAAACATAACATAAAAATTAAATTTCACTGTGATTTCCTGTAAAATTCCACAAAGAGTGAACTCGGCATTCCCACATTGCTAAATAGAGAACACAAAGAAGAGAAAAGACCTGTCATCCCCATTCCAATAACGAAAAATTAAAAATAGGTAGTTCAATTTCTTTGAATGGCCATCTGAGAACAACAAACTGCTGAACAAGTGACCCGGTCACCGAACTGTCACTGGTTTCCAGGGGTGCCGTTCCTTGGTGACCTTGAGAGTGTATTGTTTCAGATGGGGGCAATGCGTGAGGAACGCTTCCACCACCTCCTTGCTGACCACACAGTAGCAGTGGATCTCCAGCAGATTATGGCAGTGCCTTGCCAGCTCTACTAGCGAGGAATTCAAGTCCTCCGAGGATGTGGTTTGTAGCATCAGCTTCTTCAGAGTACTGCTGTAGCTCTGGGTGACAAACCTAATCTGATCTACCATGTAATTGTAGGTGTTCAGCTGCAGCGTGTTCACAGGTATGTTCAGCTTTAGGATCCGTGGTATTGTGCAGCCAGGGACCGTATGATCGAATTCGAGGTCTACGCAGAGTCGAGGATGTTTTTGCCTGACAGCAGCCCACAGCTCTTCTGAGATGACTGGGATATATTTGTCCAGGCGCTCACAGAAAATGTCTAAATGAGTTAAAGCTGCTCTTTCTGGCTTGAGCAGCTCCAGAAATACATCACTGGACAGGCTGGCATAGTAAACCCCCAAGGCTGAGAGTTTGGGACACACACTGAGAACTTTCCTAACGGTGTTTGGTGCCACGTTGCACACCAGGGTGCGGTTGTTGATAAACAAACTTTGCAAGTTTGGGTTGGTGGTAGCTAGGAGTTCAACAAGCTCCCCATCGAGAGTAAAGGGCATATTTCGAAAATCAATATGCTGAAGATCTATCTGGTTGTTAGCATTGCACATATTCCGTATGCTCTGCAGGATGTCCTGGCCAGAGTAGAAATAGGGGTTCTCCCCATGGCATGCAATGCACAGCTGCTGCAGCTTGTGGTTCTGCTTTGCCAGCACATCTAAGATGCGTGTCACATTCCTGCGGTTGACCTCTTTGGATTGGTCAAATCTAATCTTCAGGTGTTTGATTTGGCTGAGGAACTGGCACAGGCTCTGCAGCATGCCCTCCTCATCCTCTGAATCACAGCTGGAAGGGTAAAACAAAAGGTCAGTCAGTGTGGAAGGTAAACCAAGCAAACACAGAGCAGATTCTCTCCTTCACTGTGTTCTGGCAAATACCAACAGATCACACGCACATTTCTCCTCACCAGATGCCTGGCAAGTCACTGTAAGGCCAAACTCTGACCAAGTGAGGGGGAGTGAGGCGTCAGCCTCCAGAAAGACCAGCGGTGAGGTAAGTGCCACCATGAGAATGACTACCCAATAACTTTGTCTCCTGCTGTTTTCAAGGAGCAACTTGAAGGAACTTACCCAAGAATGTAATAATTCCCATAGCACCCAAATCATCACCAGCAGTTAATATAAAAGTCCACACTGCATAACACCATTTTCTCTGTTATACAAAGAAATGCCAGTCACGAAATGTAGCAACATCCACAAATCACGGCTAACATCAATTATTTGTCACAGCACAGCACTGTAAATCGTCCACACGCACTGATACGTAATGCTCTTGTTACACCTGCAGAGATGCTCACACTTCAGAAACCCATTCCTCATACCTGATCTCCGTGAAATGCCAAACGGAGCTGGAAGAAACAGCCCCAGCCCACTGCTTGCACACCTGGAAGGCTGTGTATCTATCTCGAAGAGAAAGGTAATAAAAAATTTGGATGAGGATTTCCTCTGGGATGCAGCTCCATGGGTCAGGGGCTGGAGCAAGCATGCTGCTGATTCAGTTGGGTTCAAAAATTGGGGAAACTTCCAAAACTGTAGTGAATTTTCAAACAACCCTGTTAAAAAAAAAATAATAATAATAATAAAAAAGAAGATATTTAGTACTTACATACAAAGTCAAACCAATACAAATGGATCACGGGGTGGGGGGGTCAGCACTATTTTAAACTTGAAACTTCACCACATTTTGAAATTCAGCACAAAAATAGAGGAAATCCACTGGCTGAATGTTTGCACACTATTTCCAACCAAGCCTCTGTAGTCGGGAAATACTCTTCAAGTATTAAAGATGTCAGATCAAGGCTTTGGAGGGAAAAAAGTGCATTTTCCCACAGCAAGGACTTTGCTACTGTAAGAAATAAAAATGCAAGAGAATTTTCTAGTGCTGCTGCACCGGTATGCAAAAAGCTGAGACAGATTTCTCAAACTGAAGGGAAAAAAACCTCTTTGCAAGCAGAAGCTCTACACAGAAAACAGCCCCACACATCCATTTTTGTACCGACTGCGAAACAAAAGGCCCAGAGCAGAGTGGGGCAGCTTTATTGCAGTGACCCTTGCCTGTAAGAAGACGTGGCGGCTTGACAGAAATGTTTCATTACTCTTAATCCACTCATTATCAGCCCCACTGATGCAAGTCTGACTTGGGAAAGCACATTTTGATTGACCTTCTAAGTGAGCGATAAACACCTGGGACAAAGGCTGAGATTGATAACATCTGAACGTAATGGTATTTTTCATCCACTTTTCTAGATTATTTTTTTTGCTTAAATTAAAACCACCGCATAAAACCACCGTCACGAGACAGCTTTTCAATCCCTATCGTGAGCAAGAGCAGGATTTTTAAACGGCAGAGCAGCGCGGCCTGCAAGCATTCCCGTTCCTGGGACAGCGCCGGGGAACGGCCGCGTCCCACAGCCTGCCTGAATCCCAGAGGCGGCCCCAGGCCACGGAGCCCCAGCAGTACTTCACCGCCACGCTTTTTAACTGCCGGAGACCTCCGATGCAAAACGGCACAACTCCGAGCGGAGCAGAAGGCCGCGTTTTTTCAAGAATTCGCCGCTTTGAAGCGTGACTCATTCTTTTCAGCGCGCGATGCGGCGCACGGCAGCTGTCCTATCTGCCATCGTCGCACCGACAGCGGCGCTTCCCCTTCCCTTCCCCCAACGACGAGCGACAGCGGCCGAAGGACTCGGCCCCGCTTCCTTCCTGGGAGCCCGCCGGCTGTTGCTGTTGTCGTTTCCTCTGACAACGAAGCCCTCGCCCCCATCTGTGCTCCATCCACCCGCCCCGAGCGGCTCGCACCGGGGCTCGAGGGGGCCGAGCGCAGCGCGCCGCCCGCAGCGCAACGGGGGGTTCCCCCGCTCACCCCTTTGCGGGCGGTGCCTCCCTGCGTCCGTCGCAGCCGCGCAGAGGCGGAAGCGGCGGCGCCGAGGCCGGGCGGCGGCGGCGGCGGGAGGTAAGGGCCGCCCCGAGCCGTCGGGGCAGGGAGGGGGGGGAAAGCGGGGGGGCGGCCGCCGGGGAGGGGGAGCCCGTGCGGTGGTGGGGGGCGGCGGTTCAGCAGAGCCTGTAGTGATAGGACGGGGAGATGGCTGCAGGCTAAAGGAGGGGAGATTCGGATCGGAGCTAAGGAAGAAGTTCTTCGCGCTCAGGGCGGTGAGGCAGTGGCTCAGGCTGCACAGAGAGCTGGTGCTGCCCCATCCCTGCGGGCAGCCAAGGTCAGGGAACGGGGCTGTGAGCACTGATGGAGCTGTGGGTGTCCCTGCTCAGCGCAGGCAGTGCGAGCAGACGGCCTTTATGGTCCCTTCCCACTCAAACCATTCTGTGATTGTATTAGCTGGCCAGCGAGGCACGGGCACGGTGAGAATGGAGAGATGGACGCGCTGTTGTAAGGGGAGAGGAATCATAAAAGAGCTAGGACCTAAAATGAAGAGTTATCCCCAAGAGCTTACCAGTGCAGAGCCAAGAGTCCCGCATGCCCACTGAACCACACGAAGGGTTTGTCTGACCAAACTGATTCCATCCCCCTTCCAATACCTTACGGCCTCAGGGCTGGTCGAAGTCCACAGTGACAGCAGCAGGGTGAAGGCAGCACTGCTGGGCGCTGCGTGGCTGCTGTGCTTTATTAGGAGCAGGTTATGAGTCCCTGACTGACGCTGATGAAGAGAAATACGAAGGTTCCCAGCCTGTGTGAGAGGCCTGTAAGGCTGCTGTGCGCTTGCACTGTGTGTGCCAGCAGCTCTGCAGTATCGTGTGGTTCCTACATGGGATCCTGCTGCGGTTACGATTTGCATCAGCCTCTGTGCATCTCTTCTCTTGCTGTGCTGTAGCTCTCAGGATTTTGGAGGCCTTGCACCATAGATTATTTTTTGCTGATTTGGCAGGTTTGGAGTCTCTGGAGCACATGCATGCTTCCCAACAGCTATGTAAACAGAGAGCAAGGCCCTTACAGTGGCCATGGGGATTACTGATGCTGCACATGAGGTCAGGATGATCTGATACACCTTCTTGCTGTAAAGTTTTAGATAAATCAACTTTCAGTTTGTGATCTACAATCCCAGAGTACATCTTGGTTGTAATCTTACTGTGCTGGGGAGAAATGAGGCCATGGAGTATTTTTGGACTATAAATAAACGGAATCCAGTGGAGAATGAATGCAGAGCTTTGTGAGCTGCCAATTTTTCGGGCCACCAGGTTCCATTTTGCTGTTCTTTACAAAATAACAGTGAACTCCTTAAAGAGTATTCTTGCTTCAGCAACACCACCATCTCCTTCAAAAAACAAGGGCAAATCTGCGTAATCTTTTCATGCTCGTGCTCTCCTCATGTCAGGCCATTTATTCTGTGGTCTCTCAGCTGATACAGGTGCTGAAGATGGCAGGTAGCTCCACTCCTTGGATTGGCAGTGCTTACCTCTTCCTTCAGTCAACGTGCAAGACTATCATCCTGCCAAATCTCTATGAAAGCTCCCAGAAGAAGCCCTGCGTGTTCAAGGCACTGAAGCTGGCATTAGCAGGTACCCATCCTCTCTGATATATTGGCAAACTGAAAGTCTCATGTCTTCACATAGCAATGCCAAGCCTTTCTTTAATCCCCCACTCAAGGGAAAGGAATTCTGGTGCTTACTCTGCAAACCCAAGACACAGCTAACAGATAGGATGACTGCAATTTCATGCAATCTAGTCTTTCTCTTTCACAATTTCAGGCTGTGATTTGAGTTTGTATGCAACTGGATGCAAAACCTTCACTGCCATTCATACTAACATGTCTCCCTCATAACTGAAATGGGTTAGCAATATGTCCAGCTATTGCTCTTCATCTAATCAGCATACACTCATTGCTGTAGAAACACTCAGGTGTGTTCAGCTGTGTGCCCATTTCATGAGTGATAAGAGTTATTAATCTGTCTGGATGGATTATAGTCATGGGAACATTTTCTCTTTTGCCTGCAGTGTTCAGCTTATATCAGGATTCTGCATCAGCCACAGTCTGTGCTTATTTATTCCTTAAAAGGCTACTTAGAAGACTCTCCAAAGGTTTACAGTCAGTTTATGCTTAAGAGATTCCTGCCTTTATGCAGAGCTCTCTCACATAGTCTGTTGGGTGGTGAGCCAGGGGGGACGAAGGAGAGGAAAAAAAGGAAGACATTTCATAATCAGTGTGCAAGGTGGTGGTGATGTAGGCCACCAAATGGGGCATGAGGCCGTGGTGGCATTGAGTAGGAGTGGGGGCAGCTGAGGTGCCAGCAGGAACCATCCCTGGGCCACCAGCAGGGCTTGGTCTTGGAGACGCCTGACACAGACTTGAGAGCATCCTATCAGAATGGCTCCATGCCGGGCATCAGCACCCAGCAGGAATCCACTGCAGCCCCTGGACGCCTACTCAGAGGAGCCCTCCACCACCTACTTGAACAGCAGGATCTCCATTCTCAAGAACAAGATGTGTACTCTTGCTTCAGCTTCTGCAAGCTCTGGGCTTTCATAAGGCCAGGCTTTCTCATGAGTGCTACTTGCCTTGACCTGAGCAACACTGAGTTGGATTTGCAGTCTGGGGCCATTGTAGGACTTAAGGTGACCACAGTCATCAGACTGCTGCTGCAGCAGTTGGCTGCCTGGCTCAGCATGGTGCTGATCTGCTCCATAGCCACCATGTCCACCCTCCTTGTGACTGAGGGGAAAGAAGGAAAAGTACAAGCTGTGAAAGCAGGGATGGGTGGACTGGGAGGAGTATAGCGATGCTGTGTGGATGTGAAGGGATGGGATCAGGGAAGCTAAGACACAGGTGGAATTAAACTTGGCAAGGGATGTGAAAAACAACAAGGGATTCTCCAGATACATTGGGTGGAAGGGATGGATGAAGGACTGTGTACCCCCTCTGGTAAAGGAGAATGGAGAACTGGCCTCCTCAGACATGGAGAAGGGTGAGGTACTTTACAAGTTCTTTGCCTCAGCTGTCACTGCCAGTCAGGCTTCCTTCACCTCTTGTGTCACTGAACTTCTAGGTGGGAGTCAGGGAAGCAAAATCCCTACGACTGTAGGAGCAGAGCAAATCAGAGACCACCTCACAAATCTGAATTGTACAAGTTTGTGGGGCCAGACGATATGCATTCCAGGGTTCTGAAGGAACTGGCTGCTGTGGTTGCCAAGCTGCTCTCCATCATAAATGAAAAGTCATGGCTGCCATGCAAAGTCCACAGTTATTGGAAAAAGGGAAACATCACTCCCATTTTTAAGAAAGGGAGAAGGGAAGACCTGGAGAACTATGAGGAAGTGAGCCCCATCTCTGTGCATGGGAAGATCATAGAACAGATCCTCTTGGGAGACTTGTTAAGGCACGTGCTAGATGTGATCCAAGACAGCCAGTGTGGCTTCTCTAGGGGCAGGTCATGCCTGATGAATTTGGTGGCCCTCTATAGTGGAGTGACAACATCAGTGGACAAAGGAAGGGCAACTGATGTTATCTACCTGGATTTGTGCAAGGATTTTGACATAGTCCCGCACTGCATCTTTATCTCTGAGTTGGAGAGAGATGGATTTGAAGGCTTGACTATTCTGTGGATAAGGAATTGGTTGAATGGTCACAGCCAGAGGGTTCTGGTCAATGGCTCTATGTCTGTGCTGGAGGCTGGTCACAAGTGGTGTTCCCTAGTGGTCCATCTTGGGTCTGGTGCTCTTCAGCATCTTTATCAATGACAGAGGTAGTGGGATTGAGTGTACCCTCAACAAGTTTGGAGATGACACCAAGCTGAGTGGGGCATTTGACATAATAAAATAGAATAGAAGGTGTTTCAGAATAGAAGGTGTTGCACTTGGCTGGGGCAATGTGCAGACTGAGAGAAGAACTCATTGAGAGCAGCCCTGCAGAGAAGGATGTGGGTGGTCCTGGTAGATGAAAAGCAGGACATGAGCCAGCAGATCCCTTCCAAGCTAAGCCATTCTATGATCAGCAGTAGCATGGGGTTTAGTGTCTGTATTCATGCTCAGAAAGATCTGTCGTCTGCTGAGGCTGCCAAGTCAGAAAGGAAGGCCCTGTTACCCAGAAAGGCTGGCATCTCTCTTCAGACTATGACTCTTGTCAGGTTTGCAGATGATCCTGAAGAGTGGGCACAAGACAATATATGCTCAGGGACAGGGCCGCCATTCAGAGAGATCTGAACAAGCTGAAGGAATGAGAAAGCAGGGATCCTATGAAATTCAGTAGTAGCAAAGGAATCTGTCCTTGAGAAGGAGGAACCCCAGCAGCAGAACAGGCTGGGGATGGACTGGCTGGAGAGCAGCTCTATTGAAAAGGACCTGAGGCTCTTGGTAGATAGCAAGCTAAACATGAACTCTGGCAACCCAGAAATACAGTGTATCAAGATAAATGATTATTTCTCTCTGCTTAGCACTCATTAGACCACATCTAAAATACTGCACCCAGATTTGGGCCCTGCGGTACAAGAAAGACATTGATAACATGAAACGAGTTCATCAGGGGGCCACTGAGATGCTTGGTAAGGAGATGCTGAGGAGCCAGACCTGTTCACCCTGGAGAAGAGAAGGATTTGGGGAGCACCTGCCACCAGCCTGCCAGTACCTCCAGGGAGGCTAGCAGGGAGAGAACGATGCACTCTGATGGTAGTAGGTGGGAAATGAGAGACAGCAGGCATAAATGGAAACAAGGTAGACATTGGATAACAGGTCAAACATTTTCCTCTCGAGGACACAGTTGCCCAGTTTTGTGTTCTCTCTCCTGGCATGAATAAAGCCCTCAGCAACTTGGTCTGACTTCAGAACTGACTCTATTTTGCAAAGGAGGATGGCCTAGAGACTTCCTGGGCTTCCTTCCAACTTGAACTGTCTTGTGAATGATCCTATTTTATGAATGTTTACTTAAACACATTTATGTAGGAGGATTGCAGTTGGTATGAAAAATACTTGATTTCTGCTACAGAAACAAGATTTCCTTTTTTTGAAGGCTATTTTTTAAATGAGTGATAGCCAACAGAAGTTTTTTTCTGACTTTAACAGGCACAATTACATTAACATCAGTTGTACTTAGCCCTAGTTACATCAAAAAAAGGTCTTCAGATACAGATAGCCATAAAAGTATGTTTCTCTGCTTACATTTGCACCAAGCTGACTGTAGACTAATAGTAATTTGAAGAGTTTATCATATTTACCTAGAACCGCTATCACACTGCTCTTTACCTATCATACAGCTGAGGTCATAGTGTTTAACTGGGTTTATGCAATTATAATGTAATTTCTTCTGGCAGTCATCAATTTAGCAAAGCTGGCTAGTTGGTCTAGTGCAGGCCAGTTCCACATCTAAAGATGTGAAACAGCAGGAAGCCCAACAGAGTTGTCCAGTTAGGCTCAATTTATGCCTGCTTTGTTTCACTGGAATGTGCATCTGCTCACACATTTAAAGGAAAGCTCTCAGTAATGCTAAATGCTGCCATGCTCATTCGTACCTAAAAAGGACATGAAATCTGAAGCTGTCAGAAGTTTCAGAAAGAAGCTGCTTTTGAAGTTGCTGCCCTCTTGCACAGTTATGCAAGCTTTTGTTTAATTAGCACGCATAAAACACAAAGCATGAAGGAAGTAATAAAAATAAAAGGGCGTTTCTGATCAGCAATCCTGAACAGAATTAAAATGCTTCTCCTAAGTACATAGTCCAAGTTATGCATCTAGTCCAAACTAAAGCTTCTGATGCAACCAGCAGTCTGTAAAGCCTGTAATACCACTGTTAGCACAGATTTTTAAATGCTAGGTCATTTGTCCTAGCTAATGCAGAACATGCAGGTCTGCTTTGCCTTAAGTATTCCTCTGGGCACATTTAAATAATGCCATGATGTGTGGTTTAGAAATCATTGATACAACGGCAGTCTGAGCAGATCCATCCTTACTGCTCTGTCCAGCAACAGGCCGGAAGCAGTGCAGCCAACCTCCCACAGGCCAGTGCTGCAAGAGAGAGCATAGAAGACAAGGTCAGTGTGCACAGCTAATTGAATTTAAGCTCTGCTGGGAGAAGGAAGGATGAATGCCTGACCTCCCTCTGTTGTCCATGTCTCTCAGGCTCCATCCACACTGGCTTCAGAAGGTACATCCTTGCCTTGTCCTCACTGACATTTTACTGTGAATTCATTCTTTGTGCAAAGAAATTTAATGACGTCCTCTATGACAGCCAAAATTCTTGGGGGTGGGTCTGTCATGTAGCTGGGTCTGTCATTTGCCATTTGCAAGATGCACTGAAAGCATCAAGCCAGAAGCTACCTGTGGGCACAGGGCTGGGGAAGAAATGCTAGGTCTCCTTCCAGGACCTTTACCACTGCCTGAAACTCCAGCAATGGGGACAGAAATCTGGCTCAGAACTGAACTGAACTGTGCCTTTTTTTTGTATAAAATGTGTATCTCTGTTGTGTACTGTTTTAATCTAACCATTTCTGCCCTAGAAGTAGAACCTTGAACTTAAAACGTCCCCCGGTGGGCTGCTTTGGGATAGTTACCTGGGCTGTAGTACCAAATAGCTTCCGCTGGATGCCACGCTGCAGGGATTCATGGTCACAGGGCAGCAAAAACTTAATCCTTTCCTCTTGGTTTTATATACAGGCTTTTCATCCCAGAGGACTTTATCACAGAGAGAAGACGATTCAAAAGCTACTCCATTGCAGGCTTGGTGGTGGATGGGAGTGGGTCTGGGTTGTCTGTCTCGTGCCTGGATAGTGACTCTGCTCACTTCTCCCTGCCAGACTCCACCGGCAGCGTGAATGGTGTGGACATGCTCAAAGTGCACTGCAGCCACCCACACCTGATAGTCCAGCTCAAATTCTGCAAGCAGGAGAACTGCCGCCGCTTCCTGCAGAGTTACCGAGAAGGATTGCTCCAGAAGTCCCTCCAGAACCACCTCCAGCTCTCCTTGGCGGTGACCACGGTGCCTCTAGAAATGGAGCTGAAGGCTGGCAATGAGCACCTGGACAACATGCTGAAGGATGAGGATCGCTGCCTGGAGTGCATCTACAGAGAAAAGGTGAATGGGAGAGGGAGGGAAGCCAAGCAGTGATGAGAAGCAGTAGCACAGGATGCAAAGTGGGTGCAAAACCTGCTCTGCTGCTGTGTGCTGGGCTGTCAACTTCTTCCTTCAGCTCTCAACTGTAATATGGAGAACAGCTCTGTCCTTCCCCAGAAAAGATCTGGGCACTTTTCTCAAGGACCACAGAGTTACCTTTCTCCCCTGCCTCACACATCTCATCCTCAGCAATGGTAACTGTCCCTAAAATGAGCACGAGCATAAACATCACGCGCTGCACAAACAGCTTGTGACAGAGTGGGGACACGCAGCATCTGCTGCCAGCAGGAGCAGGCAGCTGTTCTGACAGCAATGTCTCTCTCTCAAAGATGATATCTAGAGTCGATCTCATCTCACACTTTGGCTAATCCTGCTAGCAAGAACATGGGTCAGTACTGGAGCCCATCTTGTTTAATATCTTTATTGATGACCTAGATGAAGGTATTGAGTGTACCTTCAGTAAGTTTGCAGATGACATCAAGCTGGAAGGTAGTGTTGATTTGCCTGAGGGGAGGGAAGTCCTTCAGAGAAATCTAGATAAGCTGGATTGCTGGGCTGAGGTGAATGGGATGAGGTTCAACAAGGCCAAGTGCCGGGTCCTGCACTTTGGCCACAACAACCCCATGCAGTGCTACAGACTTGGGGACGAGTGGCTGGATGATTGTGAAGAGGAAAGGGACCTGGGGGTGTTGGTTGATGCTCGGCTGAACATGAGCCAGCAGTGTGCCCAGGTGGCCAAGGTGGCCAATGGCATCCTGCCCTGCATTAGAAATAGTGTGGCCAGCAGGAGCAGGGAGGTGATCATCCCCTGTACTCAGCTCTAGTGAGGCCGCACCTCGAGTGCTGTGTTCAGTTTTGGGCCCCTCACTACAAAAAAGACATTGGGGCCCTGTCCAGAGAAGGGCAACAAAACTGGTGGGGGGTCTGGAGCACAAGTCTGAGAAAGCTGGGATTGTTTAGTGTGGAGAAGAGGAGGCTCAGAGGAGACCTCATTGCACTCTACAGCTTCCTGAAGGGAGGTTGAGGAGGATGAGGAGGGGTTTGGCCTCTTCTCCCAGGCAACAAACAGGACCCGAGGAAATGGCCGCAAGTTGTACCTGTGGAGGAGGTTAGATTAGACATAAGGAAGAACTTTTTCTCTCAGAGTGATCATGCACTGGAATGGCTGCCCAGGAAGGTGGTGGAGTCATTGTCCCTGCAGTGTTCAAGAGGCATCTGGATGAGGAGCTACGAGATCTGGTTTAGTAACTGTGGTAGCAGTGGTGATGGGTGGATGGTTGGACTAGATGATCTTGTAGGTCCTTTCCAACCTTGTGATTCTATGATTCTAACAGTGGGATCTTGTCATCTTACCACAAAACCAAAGCACTTGCTGTGATTAAGCTTATTGCCTTTTTCCTCTCCTCTTTTTTTTTTCCCACCTGGAACTACCAATATCTGACAGCTTTGCTTCCCTCTCAGGGGTCCTTAGGATCAGGCAGTCTCTGCCTCCACAGGAAGATCAGGCACGAGAGTATGTTCTGACAGGCTGCTTTTCTGCAAGCGCAGAGATGAAATGCAAACAGGACCAGGACCAAACGTGTGATAACACACACCCTTTCAAGTTCTGCTTGCTGCTCCCTCGCTCTGCTGAATTAGCTGACTGGACAAGAGAAATGGGCTTATTGTCTGTTCCCCAGAATTGACTCAGCCTGACCTTTGCCTACCAGCGCAGCAGCCAGAAAAATCAAGTCACCGGCTCAGGGCAGTGCTGGGTACCAACCTGTTGTATGCGAGCTTAAACACGAAACTGAGTCAGAGCACTCGCCGAGTTTGACTGCTCAGATGTGCTCTGCATTATTTTCTTATCCCATTTCTCCTTACTTTCTCTTTGGATATCACATCTGTTTTATCTCGGTTAGCAAGAAGAACTGGCTTGAAGAGGTTGCAGGAGACACTAGGAACAACACTTAAGTATAAGAGGGGAAGGCAGGGAGAAGGAGAGTAGCAGGAGCTCCTGCTTTGGTGGCCATGAGCTGTTATATCAGCTCACCCTATTTTGTGGGTCTGACTCTCATGTGGAGTAAATCAGAGAAGCTCTACAGCCTTAATTCTTGCAGTGGGCTTCTGAAAATAAACATGGACTAGGAACAGTTTTGTGCAGCTGGTAAGTAGTCATTGATGCATGTGACAGACCCAGGAGGGGGACACTGCCCATTTCATATCACACTGCAGGTAGAAAAGCACAGACTTTGTGCCAGAACTCCATTAGGCTATCTTATTTGTCCAATTTACAACACAAGCTATAGCAATCTCATTGCTTCTCTCTCAACACTGTGATCTTAAGCCATACTGAAAACCTGCCTCCGGCTAAATACCTGCGGCTTTGTGAGATGGTGAACCTGGCATAAATCATCAATGCTGTTTGCATTACAGCCTGACCGCCTGCGGGATGAGGAGATCACAGAGCTGGAGGAACGCCTCAAGAGCCTGATTCTTCACCACAACATCAACAACAACATGCCTTCCAAGGACTGCATGTCACCGAACTCCCTGTCTCTACCTTCTCAAGGCAGCCCCCTTTCCCCACAAGTCACATTTCTTTTTCAGGGACAGCAGTTTGGTGAGTAATGAGAACTAAGCCAGTGAATCTCAAAGGCCAGAAGGGAGCATTAATGTCACCATGTGGTGAAGTCTACCTCGGATAAACTAAGGATCTCCCAGCATCCTGTGGAGAAGGAGTTGCAATAGTAATGCTACACTCCTTCAGATCAGGCCTTGGCTTATTTTTGTCCTGGGGAGGCTTGCTGGCCTGCTTAGTCCAGGCTCCCTGCAGTACACCATCTGTTTCCAGTGATGTCCACTGCAAAAAGCTTTCAGATGGTCCCGTGTAGCAGTTTTAGTCTGAAATCAGCTTGGTCTTTTCCAAGTGTGCTTAAGGTGTGTGAACAGTCCCCAGTGCTAAACAGCTGAGGAGAGAGCTCATGTCTGCATTTCAGTACTTTAAGGATATGTAGCCAGGGAACAGGGGGCTTGGTCTGAGTTGCTTTTGAAAGGCTGAAACAAAGAGGATGTCTGTCAAAGAAAATTGAGCTCTGTCAAAGCCCAGGAAAAATAGAAAAATAAAAACCTGTTAGGTAGGGACAAGCCCAGATACCTTGATGTCAAGGAAGGATTTTGGAGGGGAAATGGTTTGAGCCTGACAGGAGGCCAGACATGCCAGAGCAGACAGCTGGGAGCAGGTAGGTGCCACCCAAGCCATTGGTGCTGCTCAGTTGATTTTCTCTTTCCAGTGTTAGAGGATTGTGTCAGGGTGCAGAAGCCCCTGCCCGCAGCAAGCCTCACTGCACTTGCACTTCTGCTTCTAACACAGTGCTGGCCAGGTGTTAAAACACCAGCAGACAAGCAGAGCAGCAGCACAGCTGTCTAACAATGCACTGTGAGTTCTGAACAGTCTCCCAGCTTTATAGAACACTGAGCAAACCTTGGACTGACCCTGCCTATATCACATCAGCCATGAAACCCTATATTTAATCTGCCCTCTGTTCCTTTCAGACAATAGAACGCTCACACCAGATGACCACCAGAAATTTGCCAAGCTTGTGTCCAAGAAGTGGAAGCAAGTGGGCCGTTCTTTGCAGAAGAACTGCCGGGCCCTGCGAGATCCTGTCATTGATAACCTGGCCCACGAATACGACCGAGAGGGACTTTATGAACAAGCTTATCAGATGCTTCTCCGATTTATCCAGTCAGAGGGGAAGAAGGCAACGATAGCACGACTGATTGCTGCTCTGGAAGAAAATGGTCTCACCAGCTTGTCTGAGGAGCTCTTGGGCCTTCATTCCAATGAGGATGACTCCTAGAGCCCAAAGGGTAGTGACATTGCTGAGGGCTTTCTTGCTTTAGCTAGTGTATGAGACTGCTGCCAGCGTCTGGGAATGTAATGCCTTGAAAATCACTGCAGGTTTATGTGCTGAAGGGAGTGCTCTGGGCAGAGTTTCTGTGCTCCCAGAAGCCAACATGGGGCTCTGATGTTCCTTATTTCTTTGTTTCCAGAAGTAGATGTCACTTTCCTGTGAACCACTGAGAGAGGCTTTCAGCCTGACCTCCTTCAGGACTGAAATGTCACAGAGAAGCAGCCAGGCAAGTTAACAAGCCCTAGAAAAGGTGGGAGAAGGTGAAAAGCAAGGAAGGCATCTCAGAGAATTTCCCTGGGAAGCAAAGCCACTGTTTCTCAGATGTGGCCCAGGGCCATCACCTGGAGAACTGCAATATATTGTCTTATATTGATATTTATGCCTTCAGGCTTGAAACTACGTAAAGACAAAGGAAAAGTCAAGTTTATATTGTTTTCTTTGTTATTCAAATGAGGACCATCTGCAGCAAGTACACCTGTCCTGCTCTACCCCAGTGTCGTTCCTTCCCACATCTCACCACGTGAAGGTTCCCCTTTACCTAAGGCAGTCATCATCTTCCACAGGGCACAAGATTGCTGCTGTAGAACAGACTTCAGGCGCTGAACAAACAGTGGATAAGCACAAATTCAGAGAATGACTCCCAGCTCTTTCAGGACTATGGTGTACAAAAATATATTGACTGCCTCACGTCTAGCACTTCTCACCAGCCTGGAGGAGTTTGTGAAAAGAAAAACACAGTGCTGCAAGAAAAATATACAGCCTTAGAGTCAGCAAGTTACCTACAGGTCACTGATTGAACCTGCTGCTGTATGGTGCATTGCAGCATCAAATACCAGCCAGACCCCCCTGAGCAAGCCTCTCCAACCAGCTGGCTGCCAGTGCCTTTGCTCAACCTGTCCTTGGCCTGCTGAGTTCACCAGAGAGGGTTACTCGCTTGTGCATCTTGAGTGTTAGGATTTGCACAGAGCCTTTCCAATAACAACAGTGTTGTTGCTGTGTGACACTTGGGCATCAGGTCCCATGGCTGGACCTACCTGCCTTGCTTTTGAGGGCAAAATATTTCTTACAAGAGAAAGTACCCAAAACTCAGGGCTGATTCCTGCTTTCAGTTCCAGTGGGATAAGCCTGCTGTCCCTTGGTGTGTTGATGCAGGCTGCGACAGAGCAGAGCTTATACCTTTGCCTATACCAAAGCACGGAGCAACAAGTTTCTAGCTCAACACAGGTCGTGTAAAGCACAACAACCAGTTTTGACATATTCCTTATTTTTTACTAATACAGTTTTACTTAGATGCCTCTGTTAACTCTCTTCCTCTTTGACCTTCCCATCCATGGGAGGGTGGTGGAAGTTATGTCAGACAGAGAAGAATGTTTTCCGTGTCCTGTCCTCTCCCTTCCAGAAGTACCAGTGCTCTCCCAAAAGAAAATTAGTATCTCTGCCATGTTTCCTTTTGGGACCAGCACAGTGATGCTGGTCTTTGTTAGTTTAGGCTGCAGTGGGACTGTACTTTGGAGCATTTAGCTTTCCCTGGCTGGGAAACTCTGTTTGGCAGCAGCCCACCTGGCCAATGGTATTAAAAAAAAAATCAGAAACTTGAAAGTTACTGTAAGAGCAGCAGTGTTTGCTCTTTATTTTGCAACAAATGGCTTTTCAGAAAACATGATCTATGCACAGTCTGTTGCCTCATTGGTAATGAATATTTCTAAGTTCTCAGCCTATCGATATTCACGTGCTCAGTGTTCGCACAATGGTAAGGCAGTGGCTCATTGGTGTATAAAAGCTTCTATATCATCTCTTAGCACTCCAAATGAGAAAGGCTCATTCTTCAGCATCGACTTCAAGTACAAAAACTTTCTTACTTACAGAGCACTAAGCATGAATGCTTTTTTCTTTTTTTTTTATAATGCAAACCTTGTGCATTTTATTCCTCTGCTAGCAATTGGCCTGTGTGTTTCCTCTTACTCACAGATTCCCTCCCTAAAGTGCCATTAAGTGCTGGAGCTCCTGGCTCCTTCTTTTCAGAAATCAGGTACACCAGTAGTCGTATGTTATGTGCAATGCACATTTGATTCTGGTCTCAAGCAGACTCCTTCCTGCTAAAAGAGTTGGGGTTTTTCTGTGTCATCTGGCACATAGAGGCAATTTTCACAGATGCCTTGTGATGAAACAGACAAATTGTAGGATGTGAGAACCCAGTGTCATTTGCATCGAATTGACATGTGGTTAGGGCATGACTCTGGACTTGGGCCTGTTTTATCCAGAAGATTTTATAGCTGTTGTGCACCAGCATGCCAGGACAAGGGGACTTACAGCACACAGGACAGGAAGGAGCACTCACAAACAAAAAACATTAGCAGAGGTTTGTGGAAGAAATTAGAATCTTTACCTCTGATAGCAATGCAGTGAGTGAGACCAGAGGAAGAATAACATGTTGGGGATACTTGCTGGAAAGCAGGCACTCAGTGCTGGGCGCTGGCTTTCTTCCTTTCCTGGGCAAAGCTGTTGCACACTGCCCCTACTCAGGTGCCAAGACATGCAGGTGACCCTCCCTCAGTACTACTTATGCTGATCAGCTGATGTCTAGCATGTGAGATGGGCTGAGAGCAGAGCTGCAGCTGGACTGGGCCGCATCCCATGGCAACTCTTCCCATATGTGTAGATATGCCTGAAAAAAATACTGCTGGGGGAGATGATCAAACATGCATCAAACCGGGCCACAATATTAAAAGCAAATGAAGATAGTTATCAGTTCTGTGTAAAAAGTGAAATGATAGACAAAAAATAAAACAAAGAGCAGAAACCAGGCCAAAACATGCGTCCAGGGAAGGATCCAAGAGGGCTTTTGTTGTGGTGCAGACTGTTTCTGTGGTTTTAGCAGTGTTTCAGATTTGAAGGAGGCTCCTTTCAGTCTGCCAGAAGGAATAAAAACGCATCCAAAGGAGGATTTGAGCGAGTTGTTTTGGCACAGTGGAGCTACAGCTGGGCAGCAAGAGGCAGTGGAAGTCAAAGTGTGCAGACTTTAACATGAGGTTGCTCAGAAGGTGAACAGAGGGAGCACCCAGGTGTAAAACGGCACAAAGGAACACATCGGACTGCTGTGCAGGACAGGGCCAGCCAAAGGCCAGCATTGTGCCTCTTGGGTGATGGTGAAGAACACACCATAGATTTTAATACACTGCTGAAAAAGCCTGCGCATCATCCCAGCTGATCAATCAAAGCAGGGCAGGGAAGGTGCTTTCTGCCAGCTTTAGTTCTCACACGCTGCAGCTGCCTATGGACGAGCTGACACAAAAAGGACAGGGTTTTGATGTTAGTGATTGGAACCACTGGAAAATCGTGAGCCAGATCGAAAAGAAATAACAAAATTCACTTCCAGTTTTTCACAGCAAGTCAAATTAAAAACAAATGCCAGTCGACTGCTTGCAGCAACACTTTCCAGGGCTCCATACACTTGCAGAGGCAGATATGTGGATTGTTTTTAATGCAGAATGGGAAGCTCATGTCTGAGCACTGTGGGTTACAGAGCTTCAGGTGAGCCCCCAGCTAAAATGGTTTCCTGAAGTTTCACAGGAAGTCTCAGTACTGTATCTGCTTCACAACTGGGGGAAATTGCAGCAGAAAATATCAAGATCTGGACAACATTAAGATCAAAAGGTGTGTAGGGTGAGGGAAACCACCTGTTTGGGGAAGTCAGAGTGCCTGGAGAGGAAGCTGCTCTGGCAGAAGTTCTTCTCCTCGTGTGAAGGAATTGTGTTTTTTTTCCTTTTTGCCATTCATTGAAAAATCTGCTTCAGCACAGAGGAGACATCCCAGTGTGTCAGAGGGTCAGCTCTGCCTTTCCAGAGATACCTCAGAGCAGGAACCTAACATGGCACATAGGGCACTGAGGGGCCCCAAACTCACTTGTTTAGTTTAACTGAAACTTCATACGTAGCTACGAACCCGTGGCATTGCACATCTGAATCCGAGGCAGTGCTGGAATGGGGATGGAGGAGGTTTCTTCAGTCTGACCAACACAGCAGGGCGGATGAGTGGGGTTGGTGAGGTGCTCTGCTTCCCACAGCTGAGTCTGGCCACTTGGCTTTTGCACAGCAATAGGTCCAACTGGTGAGGCAGTTTTTAAGGCCAGAAGTAAAAAAATTGCACCTTTTTTTTTCTTCTCTGGATTTCACTGGGCTTAACTTTTAAAGCCAGTGAAGGAGTTTGACTAATTTAAATCAGTTGGAGATCTGTGGTCAGGTCCCTTAGTCATCAGTGGAAAAATCCCTTGCTGACCTTCTACTTCCAAATTTCCACAATATGCAGCATCAGATTGGGATCAGCATCTGCAGCTGTGGGCTGCAAAGCCATGCATACTCAGGTCTGGGACATTCAGCCTCCACGGTACTGTCCTCTATAGGAAAAAAAAAAAAAAAAAAAAAAAAAGCACTTTGGTCTATTTTTCCATCCTCTTTTATAAATAAACATATACTTTTGACAAAAAGAGCCTGAGAGACTTTCTTTTTAAACACTTCATATGGTGGTGAGAAGAAAAGGGTTCTGAAGTTCTGGCCTCACCAGCTACCACCAGCTGTCACAGCAGCATCCAGCTGAAGTCTCTGGATGCAGAATGGATGCAGAATAGAGTCCTGCCCCAAGGCCGGTGCCCACCTGAAAGTTCATGGCTGCAATTTCAAGTCAAAACCCAGCAAAGCCAGCATGGCGTTTTCATTTAACAAAAGCAAGTGTAGAGTCCTGCACCTAGGGAGGAATAATCGCATGCACCGGTACAGGTTGGGGGATGAGCTGCTGGAGAGGAGCTCTGCA